AAAAAAATGGTGGTAAATTTGAATATTTTTATTAAAAAGAATGAATACTTTTACAAAGAGTTTTAAATAGATGAAATTAATCACATGATCAAAATAAAAGCTATTTGAGCTTTTGTTTTAACAATTGTGTGAAATGAATGAATTAAATGCTCTCACATGTACGTAAAGTAATACTTTCTTACAATATTGGATAATTCTTAATTTGTGTATCAAAAACTGTAGAAATACTACAGATATAATGCTGATACACAAATCCTAACTATATACCAAAGTTGAAATATATTGATTTTACACAGAGAGAGAATTTGTAGGTTCTGTAACAAACCTAAAATAGATGTTTTTATTGAATAAGCTCTAAAGGATTAATTTTCCTCTACATCATGTTGGCAACAACAATACTCATGCCCAGAAATATACAGGAAGAGATGTGAGATTAGAAAAGTAAATCTGATTCCTGAACCACCTAAGACTTGGAATAATCCTGTCTATATACTGCTCTACAAATTTAAATTTTTCAAATGGGCTTCCAATCCCTCTTATGACGTGCCGTGGACATCTGGAGATTAAGGCCCTAGTTCATGATATTTTTTACTCTATAACAGGGGAGTTGTATGGTATTCAAAATTAATTTATATTACATCTAAACTATCATATCAGTAATGCACTCAAAACAGGATTCAGTTGTGAAACCATAATTTGCCTATATTTTGCCTAAAAATATCTCTGTGAATGTGTAAAAAGAATTGCGTACAGGAAGTTATGCAATTAGTATTTATGGTATGCATATTTCATACAAATGAATATTGTAAAATGATTCGTATGAAACATGTTTTATCCTACACTTCCGTTTTGGAATTATGAATAGTATGCTTGTTTGAATAAATATTAATATATATATATATTATATATAAAGCGTATATATTTGGTAAAATGTAGAGAAGAAATGGTAGACAAATTGAAGTGGTATTTATTTATTCAAGTATATTTTTTACTCTAATACTACAAATTTGTTTAAAATATTTTATTTATTATTCATATAATAAGATATTTTCAAAAATGATTCATCTTTCAAAATAGCACGCAGAGATTTAATGTCTTGAAAAATGAAACAAATCAAATGACAAAGGAACCTGGTAATCCACTAAACTATTAGCCACATCACATTTTACTACATTTTCTAATTTCATTATATTTTCTGCTTATAATTAATATAAATTTATATATTAATGTACTGAGGACTATTTGTATACATTTGTGATGACCAATCATCTGCCTTTTAAAATATTTCATTTAATATTAGACGATGACGTATTGAGTTTAAGGGAGATTGTTTTAGTTGAAACCACGCGTGGATGATATTTATTTCTATTTAAATTTATTGATAGTTCAATTTGAGACAAAAATATTTGAAATAATTATATTTTTACACTTAATTTATTCAGTTCACTACCAGAGACTTAATTTTCACAAGCTGAAAAAAAATTATCGATATTAATGATTAATAAAAAAACATTAATTTCTTAGTTCTTCTTTCTGGGTATAAATATTCTCATTAATGTGAAATTTGCATTGTTCAAATACTTTTTAAGGTGAAACTAAAAATTTTCAAAAAATAATCAGAGTGAATGTACAGAGCAAATATTTAAGATAAAATACAGTTAGGTAAGGATAAGTATAATTAAAAAAGGTCAAGACATTTTGAAGGTTATTAAAAATATTTAAAAAGTATGGATTGCTGTTTATTGCGAATTTCAATAAATTTATTAGCATAAAATGTTATTTTTTTAAGTAATACTTAGGAAAATACATAGTCCTGTATGAAAAAGTTTTATTTTCGAAAATATAATTATACCAATAATTGAAATATCAAATATATTATTTTGTCAAATCTTTTTCTTTATAAAATCTCCTAATAATTAACAATAATTAGTATATTTTTTCACTAACTATCACCCACAGATGTGTGAGAGTGTTCCAAAGGAGGAGACATTTTAAAGTATAAACACTTTTCTTATGGTTATTAAATCATTATCTAAATTCAACCTAAGCTAGTGGAGCCGTCAGACTAATTAATAATTTAAATTATCTGTAATAACAAATTCCGCACATATAATGACAATTGGATACACAGCCATACTAGCCACGCTAAAATAACCGTTGGATTCCTTTTCTTGAAGCCCGGTAGCTTTAACTGTTATTCGTCAAACTTTGTTGATTTTGTATGTCGACAATCGCCAACCTTTAGCGGTTCCTTTATGGAAATCGGTGTTATTATCACACAACTTTTAAAAGGTATTTTCCCAGAGAATAAGAAAGAATCGTGAATAGAACCCATAGCAATTTATTCAAAAAACTATGTTAATATTAAGATAAGTTAAAGAAATTTTGAACAAAATTAATATTTTGAATTAATACTATTTTAAATATTTAAATAAATTAAGAGTAATTTAATTTAATTTAAACTTTAATTAAGGGATTGGTTCCCCTAGAGATAACTAGAATAAGTGTAAAAAAATTTTAGTATAAAAATGAATTCTGAATTAAACATGCAAGATATTTCTCTTAAATGAAATACATTTAAATATATATAATTGACATAAGTCTATTTACATTTACTTAAACTTTAATCTGAGGACTTAGAACTCTACAGGAATTCCAGTAATTGCATATATAACTTTAACATTTATCTAAATCTTTCTCTCAATCTGTTTATGTAACATATAAATATGTTTAACATCTATAATAAGTCTGGGCATGCTGTATAAACTTTAAATGAATTAGGTGCGTAGAACATCTAACTTTTCAGCATTAATTATTCAGTGACATAAAATAGTGTAATTATTTCCAAATTATATACTAAATTTTATATTGAAAATTATATGACACTCGAATAATGTAACAATAGTGAGTATATTTACTTTGAAGAATAGTTAAGGATCAATGATTCACAAGATTTACATCTTACACAAGTATATCTTAAATTTATAATTCACTATTATGTCAGTTTTTTTTATTGCCCAATGGCAAGAAAATTTTTTTTTGTTATCACTGAACGAAAATTACTTTTTTTATTAGTATTCTGTTTTATCGAAATTTTTAAAAAAGATAAAACAAGAAATACCGTTTGATGTATCAGACTAACGCATCGTCAAAGAAAACAGTCAAGATAGAGATAAAAATATTTAAGTTTTACTTAGCATCCATCTGGTTTAATGGCTAGTAACGCTGATTACTGTGCCGTACGGCCTGAGTTCGAATCCCGGAGAAAGCATGGATGTTTGTAAATTTATAGCGCCTTCACAGCAAGGGGTACTCTAAATAAGCCACAAGTCATTCCGTGAGGTTGGTGGAAGGGAAAGAGAGGGGAAGGACCTTGACAACCTCCAGGGTTTTCTCCCTCAAAATTGGGGTAGAATCGGGAAAAATCGTACTTTCGCCTGCATGGTACTCAAATCTAAGGCTAACGACAGGCGTAAAAATCCAGCCCTTTGCCACGATGAATTTCGTGGATCTTGAACTGATGTTACTGTCGAACAGGTGGCATAAGCAACAACAAGTTTTACTTAAAGAGTAAGATATTACCACATGTTCCGTTCTGCAACTTCTCTATCTCATACCACTCTAGTCTTCAGATTGGTTCTCCTTCTAAGTTTTCAACCCTTTTCTGCTCCCTAAGATCTGGGGCTCTCATGTTTGGTTCTTACGTCCTGAGAAAATAAAGTGATTTTTCATAGCTATAGAGTTTACTTCAAGATATACAACAATGTATAGACACATAAACCTATTAAGGTATCCGACTACGTTCGGAACCGTGATTTTAAAAAAGCGCATAAATGGACAATTTTCATGATATTTAGTGTCACTTAGGTTAGAATACATGTATAAAATTGATTTAAGGACATTTTGACAAAAAAAAAATATTTAAATACAATATTTTGGCAAAAAATTAACTTCTAATAACCTTTTTTCAAACTGCTCTCCTTTTGTGAAAAATGCTTCTATTATAATAATATTTTGCATGTATATAGCTCAGACATCGGTACAGAGGCTCAACAATGACGTTTGAAAAAATCGCATTATTTTAAGAGTTACAACCCATTGAAATAATTATCAGCGTTGTTTTTTTTTTAAATGTCTCCCCTCTGTTGTCGTAAAACATGGATAAACCCATTTCTAAGTTATATATTTGAAAAATTCAAGTTGGCCTCTGCACAGAGGTCTCAGCTTTATACAGGCAAAATATTTTTATAATAGAAGTATTTTTCACAAAAGGAGAATATTTTGAATATGGGTCATTCTATGTTCATTTTTTGTCAAAATATTGTACTTAAATACTTTTTTATTGCAATACTATTCTTAAAACAATTTTATATACATTTTCTAGTGTAAGTGACACTAAATATCACAAATATTGTCCATTTATATGCTTTTGCAAAATCACGGTTCCGAACGTAGTTGGATACCTTAAATATTATTACTTAAAAATTTTAAAAATCAAATAAAAGGGCTGTAAATTAACCTTGTTTAAAAATTTGTTGCAAAACAATTTTAAATAATGATTGCACCAACTATAAGTTTAAAAAAATAGTATTAACCAAATATACCAAATCACACAACAGCGAATTTGTTTTTGAATCACATGCAAGAATAGGTATGATTCTTGAATGACAGCTGATGGAATAGAATCAATTGTATCTTTTATTTAATTTTATAACTAAGAACTATATCCTTCTCTATGCTGCTTTGAATTGCAATGTTAATTAACAAAGAATCACTCAATATTGAAAGTACCGTAATATTTATCTTGTTAAAATTTCCAATAGTTAATAAAACACTTTTTATTCATCCACTCAAGTTCAAATACATTTTTTAAAATTGCAGTGGATGACACTGGATTCTGATATTATATATATATTTTTTCAAATATTAATTAACTAATTAATAGTAACAAACCAAAATAATAGTCGAACAGCATATATAAAAAGAAAATCGCTCGTTTTGTCCCTGTAGTGCAATGGATAGCGCGTTGAGCTTCTAACCCAAATGTCATGGGTTCGAATTCTACCTGGGATGGCCTGATTTCTAAGAATGTGATTAATGAATGAATAAATAATAAACAAAAATAATAGTTCAACACCATATATATAAAGGAAAAAATCGCTTTCTATTGTGCCTCTTAATATTGTGATTCTATCAAATGTATATACATATTTATATTAATTGTAATTATTTAATAAAAAGTAGTTAAAATAAAAGTTTTCTTTGTTGACCTTAGGAATTAACTCAATTTTTTTTTTTTTATGTATTACTTGTTTTATTTTTAAAGCTGACACATCTTTATACCCGGTGAAACACGTCCCTGTAAATTTCGATCTTATTTATGTGTTAAATGTGCGCGTTATACGCCGGATTTTACGGTAATAATTATTTATTCCCAAGTTTGATGAAAGAAGCAGAAATTTAACTTTATTTTTTCAGATTAAGTTCATAGAAGTCAGGGTCAGGAATTCATGTTCGACGAAATTTGAATCGAAATTGTCCAAGTTCAGCTTCAATCATCAGGAAACGGATAGACATTTCATACCTCCTCTAGTAAGGTGACCTTGGGCAGAATAGATGGTATACGGAGTTAATATTCCTCTTAGGACAACCCAAAGCAGGAAGGCCATTCCACTATGACCACCCAAGGTTTGCAGGCAATTTCCAACTGACGATTATAATCTGAATCAAGTCATAGGAATCAAGATTTGATGAATAGCATTTAATATATATGTAGAATTGAGGAAATGTACAATGGATAACGAATGCATGAATTAGGGAAAGTAACATGTATTTTGAGGTATTTAGCGTTCTTTTCTACAGCGGAAAGTGTTGAGATTAGAAAAATATTATTTCTACGATTACTTATTTCCAATATAAATTGATTCTTTTAGTTTTAAATTTTGTTGAGAATTATTAATTTTTATCAATATAAGTGAATACAACCTAGATTTTTAAATAAGAAAGAAAAAAAAAATTGTGTGCAGTAGGAAAACAGTACAATTCTGGATATTTCTCAATCACTTGAAAAGGAATACTTAAGAAGCTCCAATTGTTGTTTTTATGCTCTGAAATTTTTTTATAGCAAGTTTCAATTATTTATGTTCACTTATTTTTCAAAACGTATTGAAGTATTGTTTGTGCATTGATAAATGTCTTTTGAGATTTTAAAATAATATTCAAAATTTATTAAAATTTCAAAAAAATATCGTTTCATGAAAAAAATGTTACACCTCAAAATCACAGAATGTTTTAATCTAAAATAACAATTGTAACTAATAATAATATAATCATTCTGTTTTCAGTGGCGTAGTGTGAGCTTTCACCGTCTGGAGTCAACCGGAAATTTGTCGCCTCTTTATTTTAATTATTAGTCTAGAAAATTAGTAAAAGGAAAAAAAAAAATAAACTTTAAATTTTTTTATTGATTAAACATGCTCTTTTCGTGTTTTTTTCATAGCAAAATCTTTTATACAATTGTCAATATTTATATGTATGTCATGTTCATTTACCAAAATAGCTAAATTTGTTAGCCTTAACGTGGACATAGTCGATCTGAGATAACTTTTAAGGTATTTGTACATCTTCGAAGAAAATTTTTTGAAAAACTGTAATGTTTGCTATTAAAGTATTTTTTACTGATGAAATACAATTTAAAACTATGAAACATACATTTAATATGTTACTTGTAGTACATAAAAAATTTAGGGAGTAAAACATAGTGTAAATAGTAATTAAATTAATTATTAGAATAAAGCACATAACTCAGATGTAAACAAAAATATTACTTTATTTTGCTGTGAATTTGATGTTGATCATCATAACATTTTTCAGGGCTGGTGCCATTTTCCTGATGATAATTAATTTATTACAATTTTTATCAAGGTTCGAGTAAAATAACATTGAAAAATCATTAAAAGATTATTACGAGCGTGATATATACCTTAGTTACTAAAAACATAACAGCTATATAATTATGAAAGTGGTAGGGGTTCTTTAAATCTATAAAACAAATGTACTTATAAAATTTAAACTAATTTGCTTCAGAACTTTTTGTGATATTTACGTTGTCAGATGCCAATACGTTAAAAAAAATTCATTTTGAGATAAATCAGAAATAAACTTTCAACTGCAATCTTTAATGATAAACACAATTACATGCACTTACAATGCACTTTACTTCTAAATAACACCACATTGATTTTTTTCCTTGTAGCCCTTAAAATTTTTCTACACTGCTTTACATTTGGTGTTGAATGCCATTCTGCATCGTTAATTCTATTGATGTCAAGATGATTGCATAATTTTAAAGTAAAATAACCAGGAGTTGTATTAGGTTTTTTTTAAAAAATGTCAACATAATCCTTGCATCCCTCATTAAATTGGATCACAACATCTAATGCACCAGATTGTAAAATTTTGAGTCACACGAAAACTTCTTTCAGTATTCTCTGCCATATAATGCCATTAAAACACTCGTTTGAATTTTGTGTTTTGCCATGCAGGTATTTAGTAAGCAGTTCATTGGTACATAATTCTAAATATGTTGGCTTAATCATGTTTAGCACTTCATTTGATAAGCCTTTATATTTTGTTTTTGGCTTTTTGCCGCCAGACAGTGCTTGCTGGTAGTAGCACCACTATCATTTCCGATGGGACACTGTCCATGCATTGGTTTCTCGACACTTGATGAGCAATGAAACAGGGCCGCAATAACAATTTGCTGAAGACCGGACAGGTTTCCAACATTACTACGAACAGCAATCGCATAGTAGTTTTCCAATCGGTCAATAAAAGAGTCGGTGAGTTTGCCTTTACCAGACAGAATTTTATTATTCGACTTTAGTTTGCGCAATCTCATACCTACTCTTTTTTGAATATGACTGATGCATTCATATTTTGTGACGCTATCTTTCCCATAAGTATCTTTGACTCTGATAAAGCCCTTAGAGTCCCCGTCACCATAATAATGGGCATATTTAAGACCTCGTTTGACAATAGAATACTGGAAGATTCTCGTAGTACCAACAGCTTCCATTTTTAACGCAAAGCCTTGAGAATTGCTATGGCACACGTGATCTGCTGCAAAAGTTTGGGACTCAATGCTTCTAGTCATTTTAGAAATCTTTCTGCAGGTGGGACAATGTGCCAACATTATTTCAATGTCCACTACTTTACCAGTGTCAAATGACAAAGCTACGAGACACCCATTCATGGAAGTGTAACGTCTACGCTGCCACGTTCCAACAACTGAAACGCGACATTCAGCAATTTTATTTTTAGTAAGCTGTAGCACTGACAGTTCAGAAGCTGCTTTTTGCATTGATACTTAGCTAACCTGTGAAATCACAGAAATGAGTTTATTCTCATGATTAGTGTACGCAGTTTTACTGAGCCTGGGTAAATTTAACTTACCACATAATTTAAAACCAGCAGACAAAACTTTCCCAATTTGTCTCATATCATAGACAAATCTTGTATTTACTTCAGGACAGTTTAAATTTTTCTTTGAACTAGGATAAACCCTGAGTAAAAGTCACAATATATACACCTGATAACAAAATTTGAGCACAAACCATATCTAAAATCCTCAGAAAGTAGTAAACCTTCTTCGAAACATCTTGAGGAACAAAGTTGTACAAAGAAATTTAAAAGGACTTCTACATTAACTATTATGTTACCAGTAAATGGTTTACTTTCCTATTCTGCTATTTCTTCATCAAAGACAGCAGGCATTTTAATGTTTGAAGAACTCGCGTTGGTATATGTTGCGCTGCTATTTTTTGAACGTTTATTGGTAAATCCATTACCTCGAAATTGGCATTTTCTCTTTGCACTAACTCTCTCTACGTCTAGCATTACCCATTAAAAGACAAAAATTAAAATTTTCAGCAATAAAAAAGGATTAAACAGAAACTTATAAAGAGCTACGCAATCATAAGAGAGCAAATGTAAACAAACAGCAACGCACTCTATTTTCCTCCCACATTTCTAGATAAAAATATGAATAAAAACATGTTGCCAATTGTATTTTTGATGATTCTGAAAACTCAAATCCATATTTTAAAGTGTTTAAATTTCCTACTATTGCATATTTATACGAATTTTTTGATGAAAATGACGTTTTGAAGGTGTATGGACATCTTAATTAATTTTAACTCAGAGAAGCTTCTCTCGCAACTGGTATTACTGATGGCAACATTATGAAAGTGTTCTGTAAGCCATCTTCAAGTTTGGACTCAATAATATATTTTAATAAGCCCAGAGAGCTGGACCTAATAAGATCTTTTTTACAGTCTGGGTCTGTTGCAGCTACGAAAGCTTGTAGACGGTCGCGCTCAAGTTGAAATTATTCTTTATTAATGTCTTGAGGAGCTTTATCTAAGTTAAGTTCGTTCATGCTCAATATCACTTCAGACCTTAAAAAAGCACATTTTTGCGCTAGATTCTGCAACTGTTGGAATCTTTCTCGAATTTTAACAGTTACTCTATTGAAGAAAACATTGTTAGCCTCAAGTCAACTTCGTACGATAACTGAAAATCTTTAATTCCGTTGCAAATATATGATTCCTCCTGATTCGTCTTGGGAATTCAAAAGAAATTTCAACCTCTTCACATACATTTTAACATATATTAAAGCATCACTCACGAATTTTTCTCGTTTTGCTGCTAATACTGTCTGTAAAGCATATATTTCTTAGCACATTGATGGATACTTAGTCCCTATGTTTATAAATAATTATGAGCACCATTGACTTTACACAATAACATTTGCCAGAAGCCTAAGTGACATAAGAAATGAATGCGATTGCATAGCGACCAATAAACTTCCTGCATCTGTACGTGTATTAAAGCTTTCACTCGTTTCCGACAGTTTCGTCGCGTGGGAGCGATTTGGAGTTTGAAATATTTTTTTGAATTTAAATATCGCTGTGCTTGCTGTAATCACTTTTCGTATGCCACCCGGAGCCATTGTCACCTCTGCACCCACAACACTACACCACTGTCTATATCTATTTCTGTCTGTCTATTTT